TCAGAGAGGCACTCCAAATTAGCCAATATCGAGTTCAGAATAACAGCCTATACCACACAAGTGTTCACAATAAGATATGCTGACTTCCTTCCTTGCCTCTTTGGCCTACTGGGATTTGGTGTGGGCAGCAAGAAAGGATATGTACAAGCCATAGCAGAGGTTCTATCCCTCTTCTTTGCTGTTCATGGGAGTCCCATGCTCCAGAGAAATCCAGTGCGTGTGGAGAATAAATGCCATTCCCATATAGCAGTGTTGTCCAAACTTGGCCACTTTAAGATGAGTGGACGTCAACTCCCAGAATTCCCCAGCCAGCCATGAGTTGAAGTCCACTCATCTTAAAGAGGCCAAGTTTGGACAACACTGCCATATAGAATCAACAGACCATAAGGTTGGTTGCCAAGCCTGAATTATACTGAGAGGAAAAAGGATTGGAAGGGAGAGCCTTTTCTTTTAGAAACATGTCCAGCCCTACCATTAAACCAAGTGAGGCAAACATCTCAAGCAGAAAATGCTGGAGGGAGATGGTGCACTGCTGGTAGTGGCTTACCGTTTCCTCCTGAATTTCCTGGCTCTTCTCCTCTGCTGGATGATAGAGATGGATATGTTAATAACCTGCTTTGTGTCCCCTAAAGTGGTCTGCTGGCTTAGGTGTGGTGGTAAGCATTCAACAACACAATGCATGTTGAAATGAGAGTCAGCTGCCAGTTTAGCTTGCTTCTGAATATAGATAGGAAGAGGTGTCACCCACCTTTGCCTCCTGCGGCAAAGGGTCTTGGACCAACCCTGCTTGGAATAAGGACAAACTAGATGCAAAAGCTGGCCTAGAAAACCTACGTGGAAGACATCAGATCCTGCCTGCTGGGTGCCAGTGTTACTGAAAAGCTGCTAGAGAGTCTGAGAGCCCCATATAGTGATATAGCTAAAATTATACAAAGTTAAACCCTTTGCATCTGAATGGGGATTTTAAGCACACATCTAACTGAGTAGGTTATTCATGAGGACGTCAACATATCAGTTGGGCTACAGTGTGGTCTATGGTTCTATAAGGGTTCATCCAAATGCCTACATTACCACATATACTACTGCATATCTGCTTACCATCTGACAGGATGAAACAAGCCCTGTGTAGGCGTTCTCTCTTGTGTGATTAACCGAGTGAAGGAGAGTAGGGCATGCTATCAAAGCTTGCCTCCTTCAACATACCATTTGAATTTCTTTCTCTTTTTTATTTTTAATAATAACTTTAATTAAATTTTAGAAATACAAAGATAAAAAACGAATACAAACTAAGAAAAATATATTAAAAAATAAAAAGTGCAAAGAAAAATTTTTTTAAAAAGAAAGGAAAAATATGGTAAACAAAAAAGAAAGATATATAAAGAAATGACTTCCCCCTTCATCATGACAAGTACAATTTCAGTAACTTATCAGCTTCTCTGATACTACAACAAAAGATCTTCTCTTCCCTCTTATCTATAAACAAATTCTTAAAGCCTTATAATTTAGTCCTAATCAGCAAATGTCCATTAAGAGTTACCAGAAATAACAACATATATATTTTAACCTTAATCAAATAAGCCAACTTTATATTCCTTCCTTTATTTTTAACACAGTAACTTATTACTTTCTCTGAAAATACAACAAAAGATCTCTTCTTCCCATATCTCATCTCTTATCTATAAACAAATCGTTAAAGCCTCATCATTTGGTCCTGGTCAGCAAAACACCCATTAAAAGTTACTAGAAACAACCATGTATATATTTTCACCTTGATCAAATAAACCAATTTTGTAGTCCTTCCGTTTACTTTTAACAATCGTGATTTTTAATCCCTTTAAATTGTGTCCAGAACTTGATTTATTTTTGTTTTCTGTTTGTCTCTTTTCAGAAGTTCCTTCAAAAATTTAACATGTCTTGTTTGTAAATCCAAAATAAGAAAGTTATCCAAGTCACTCTTCCGGTTTGTCATTTGTATATCTCTTTTAATTATTAAGACATCAGATGGTTTCATTTGTAAATCCAGTGTAAGATCCTTTTTCATATCATTCTTATAAACTTTCATTTTTAAATCCACATTCAAATCAGCCTCAGTCTCTGTCTTGTCCAGTAAAACCAGTTCCTCTTCTATAACCTCTTTTGGATCCAGTTTATGATAGCAGACAATCTTAACAGTAATTTCTGAGTGCATTGTTCCCAAATATCCTTGAATTCTTCCAAAGTTAGAGTATTTTGCTCCATTCTGTATCAGTGGATCTTTTCTCCTTTAATTATAATCTTTAGTTCTTTCTGGTTCCCTCTAGCATCGAACCTTCAAAGTCCCAGTTTTTTTCTAATCAACAGCATTTTTCCATGTGAAGGTTTCTTATACTTAATTTCAAAATCTTCATGTATTTTTTAATAAAATTCTAAACAACTCATAGAAAGGTTGCTTGTAATTAATTTCAAAATCTTATTTCAAATCCATCTGGCCCCTTAGTCCATTTATAACTTTCCAAAATCAGTGTTCTAATCACCCTTTTGCTGATTATTCCAAAATAAGAATAAGGTTGCTTGTAATTAATTTCAAAATCTTATTTCAAATCCATCTGGCCCCTTAGTCCATTTATAACTTTCCAAAATCAGTGTTCTAATCACCCTTTTGCTGATTATTCCAAAATAAGAATTTTTCAAGTCCTTAAACTTGTATAAGACTTCTTTCACCAAGGACTGAAGGAAACATACCTGGTGTAATGAAACTTACCATTCTGAAGGTTCTTAAAATCCAAAAAAACCATTAACAAGCAATTTCCAGAAGTGGTTAAGAAAGGAAGTGTGCAAACCCAGAGTCCTTTTGAAGGCATTGACCATGGCTTGGGCAAAGATGGCAATCCCTCAGCTTCCAGAGCATTAAACCCACTAGAGTCCACTGTCTTATAGTCTCCTCATGGCGAGCTGCTGTCTGGAGTGTATGTGGGCAATCCTGAGACCTCTTCTTGTTCGGAGAGGAATTCCAAGAAGCTGATCCATTTGCTGGCTCCTTGTTCCACCATGGTCAGCTCTGCTCTCAGTGGAGCTGTCTTCAGTTCGCCATTGCTTCCCCAGAAGTCACTACCATTTGAACTTCTCCATGAATTGCAGGGTGAGCATCTGAAGTGGAGGGACTCTTCTTCTGAAAGCGGCTTGTATAATCAGGAGTCTCCTTGCTGTAGAAGGCCAAAAGCAATGAGAAGGGACCATATTGGAGTGGGAAGGACTTGCCAGTACACCCTCACATTCTCTTGCACAGAGAGAGAGAGAAAGAGCGAGAGAATGATGCCTGGGGGCAGGTGGGGCAAATATCCTTAATTTCATCTAGATTATCTGCAGCCCTTTTTAGGCATTCTCTTTCCAGTAGCATCTGTGTGTGTGTGTGTGTGTGGTGGGGGGGATGTTTCAGAATCAGCAAGATGACAGATGGAATGTCACAGTGCAAGCCCTGCTTCTTTTGAATGCGCATGTGATGCCACATGGAAGAAAGGGGTGGATTTTGCATTGTGACATTCCATCTACCATCTTGCTGATTTTGAACCCCCCCCCCCCCC